TTCTGTGTGATGGATGGGCCTGCTTTTGAGAACAAAGTTTATCAAAACGTGGTGTAATACCAGAAATGGCCACTCTAACTTCTTTAGCAATATTTTGACTTTATAGCTGCCAAAGCAGAAAAGCCTGTCTCGCATAAGTAAGTTGTTGCAAAAGGAATCAGGATCTTCAATGCTTTTTGGCTCAAAGTTGGGAATTCCTTGCCAATATGTATCCAGAACTCCAACAGACAATTCCTTAAATTTACTTTTTAATGAAGTATCACTAGTGAGATCGATGAGTTGTTCTTGCTCATTTACATTCAGAGATGATGGCCCAGGAGCATTTTCGAATGGATTTTTAATCCAATTAAATTGATCAAAATCATTGCAAAAGTATTTTTCGAAATGAACTTTCAACATTATGAGATGATCAAGTAGGCAGCTTTTTATGTCCATTGGAAGCACTGGATTATCAGTGTCTTGTACCATTGACACTAGAGTAGGGAACATGTCTAGCGTGTCACTTTCCATACTGTTTCTCCAGAGCTCTAATTTTCTCATGAATGCCTTCACTTTGTCATTCCAAGAAAGTACAGTTGCCTCATTCCCTTGAAGTGAAGTGTTGAGGATATTTAGTTTCTCAAATATATCTGTGAGGTAAGCCATTTTCAATAAAAAATCCTTGTTGCTGAAACTGTCTGCCAGTGAGTGATTTTCCCCATTTAAAAAACAGAACACCTCATGCCTCAGCTTAAACATTCTCTTTAATACCTTGCCTCTTGAAAGCCATCGAGCATCACTAAAAAACAACAGAGCAGTGTGTTCGGGACCCATTTCCTCACACAGCATTTTGAAAAGTCTAGACTTCAGAGGATTTCAGAGGATGCAGCTGCTGCCGAACTATCAACGCTGTCTCTGGCATACGCATTTTACAATTGCCGGTAAAGAGAATAATTATTATAATAATAATTATAATTATTAGTTATTTTGAAATTCATGATAATTGAAGCCTGTACTCATCAGAAGTTTTCTATATGTATTTTTATTTTTTGTTACTTTTCTAATTGGTTTAGGTCAGTTTTAATTTTTATCTGTAGGAAAGTATGCTGCGCCCCCTTTTCAAACCCTTCGACCCTCCTGGGGGTCGCGCCCCACAGTTTGAGAACCACTCCAGAACCGCTCCGCTCCAGACACCAGCAGCAGTTCAGCATCAGTGTGTGGGCAGGCACTGTTGGTGTTTGGGAGACCCGCAAGCTTTGCCACATCGGCTCACAGGCAACGCTACCGGGAATTCCTCTCGCATGCTCTGCCAGAGCTACTGGCAGTCACAGTACGAATGTGGTACATGCATGGTGCTCCGTGCTGTGCGAGATGTTCTCAGCAACACATATCAAGACCAATGGAGAGGTACAGGAGGACCCACTGCGTGGTCTCCACGCGCGCCGTATGCCAATCCTCTGAATTTTTACCTCTGAAGACACGTAAAATCCGTGTGTATGCAACTCCTGTTGACAATGAAGAGGCACCCACCAACGCATTGTGGATGCCTCGCCAGATTATCCGTAATTATCTCGTCATTTTTGAACGGATGCGGCGGTCCATGATGTGACGTGTCGAGGCGGATATTGAATCTCATGGAGGACATTTTGAGCACTTTCAACTAACTAAAAAATTAAATGTTTCCGGACACATCTAGACGTGTACGTCCTTTCTTGTTTTGGTACGTGGAACTCGTGCCCGAATTTTGTCGGCACGTTCAAGTTGCACACTGGTATATCATATGAGCCGCATATTTGCAGCGGTCAGATTATATACCAGTATGCCCAATGGCAGAAAGAATCACTGACAAAGCAAAGAATATGACGACGCTCCAGGCATGCACATAACGACCAATGCTGTTTCGAGGCTGACAGTGTTGAGGACCGATAAAAAAATAAAACCGTAGCGGGATTGTAGGTAATTTATTATAATTATTTCTTAATCGAATGATTAGACGTTATCGAAAGTTTTTTAATATTCAAACATACTTACCGTATTTACGCATGTATAGGCCGCGTGCGTGTATAGGCCGCAGCACAATTTTCAGGCAGAAATTATAGGAAAAATAATTTTCTTGGAATATTATTTCAGGAGTATTACACCCTGTATTACTAATTATGACTATAATTTTTTTTAAAATGAAGTGTGATTTCGAATATTTAGAATATAAGCCGCACCCCAGTTTTCCTCTTGAATTTTTGGCAAAAAATGTGCGGCCTATACATGCGTAAATACGGTAAATACCAACATATTTATTGCCTTGATGTTTTATAGGTTATAAGTACATAATTGAACGTAATAAATCATTCACATGGCAACATGTAAACTATGTATAGATGACGGAACGATAAGTGACGTCACCCAGATACTAAGCGTTAAGTATAGCTGTACTATTGCAGGGGGCGCCTGGCAGTTCCAGGATATGCATCCTGTGTTAACTGCTCCGCCCTTACTAATTGCATTTCTCACGAAAGCACGTGCTTACTTCTATAGACTAGCTAAAGTTTTCCATGTTATTTGTCACCAGTAGCAGGTCACACTTCGAGCGTCAGGTGTTTAAAATGAAGATGTTTATTTTTATCGTGTTAATATTGTCCAGTGGCGCCATGAGTGCTGGTTTAGAGAAACTACTTAAGCTAGCAGAATTTATAGCTCATATTTATCAGCAATTGGAACGTGGCTGTTTGTTTCTGATTAACTCACAAGCACGAAACCAAGGTGAGATTGAATTTTATATCATTTCCTGTGATGGGTAAAATTTCAGTAAAGAACAAACGCGTGGTGAGGGAAAATTCTTAGACATTTCACATTCAACAGCAAACCCTTATAGAGGATTGATAAAGTTTACGGGTGACGAACAAAGGTGGGAGTGTGACGTGCATGGATTGAATTAACTCTGAATATTGTAGACTTTTTTTTTAATTCGCACAGTGGGGGGTGGAGTCCAACTGGGTCCACTCGTCACGGCGGCCACTGATTGGCCTATTGTACCAGCCTCGGATGATTATGATGATGGAGAATTTGGTGGAATGAAGATTGGCAGGGGAAACTGAAGTACTGGGAGAAAACCCGCCCCAGTCCCACGTTGTCCACCACAAATCCCACTTGACCAGACTCGGGATCGAACCCGGGCCGCCGCGGTGGGAAGCCAGTTATGGCGCGGCCCTACTGTGGACTTACTGCAGACCTTAATGTCTGCAGTACTTAAAGACTGGATTCTGACAGAAAACTTTTCAGTTGTTGAAGTACACAGGTGCTGCCTGGCCACCATATCTCTAGCTCTGCGAGGGATGTCATTGGTGACGTCACAATGTGTGACATTGGGATGGACATGAGTTCATATGGAGGATGGAAAATACCATATTCTAAAGAAAAAAATTCACTGCACTCTCTTTCTTAAAGTGGCTGGGACATTTGTGATGATACAGCATCATAAAGTAAATAAAATTAGAAAGTAAATTTATTAGTACAGAAACTAATATTTTCTATGTGCAGAGTACAGTAGCTCCACTTCTCTTACACCTGTTCCCAGATTCTTAGCTTAAAATTCCTCTTTTCTTCAGCTTGCAGATCTGAAGAAAATGTAATCGAACAGTATGTAGGTAGGTAGGTGGGTAGGTAGGGGAGTAGATAGGTTGATAGGTATGTGGAGAGGTTAGTAGAAAGGTAGGTAGGTAGGTAGGTAGGTAGGTAGGTAGGTAGGTAGGGGAGTAGATAGGTTGATAGGTATGTGAAGTCAGGATAAAGGTAGGTAGATAGATAGGTGGTAGAGTGTACGTAGGTAGAGGGTAGATAGGTAGGTTGATGGGTGGATAGGTAAGTAGGTAGATAACAGGCCGTGTCATAGCTCAGGCGGTTAGTCATCGGGTTCCCACTGCAGCGGCCCGGGTTCGATCCCAGGTCAGGTCATCTGGAATTCGTGGCGGACAAAGTGGCGCTGGGGCAGGTTTTCTCTGAGTACTTCGGTTTCCCCTGCCAATTCCCATTCCAGGGACTGTTCCATATTCATCATCATCTATCATTCGGGGCTGGTACAATAAGCCAAACCGTGGCCGCAGTACCAAGTGGACTCAGTCTCACCTCAACCCAAGAGACTAAAACTAAAATTAAGTAGGGAGGTAGATGGGTATGTGGGTAGGTAAGCAGGTAGGTATGTAGGTAATTAGGTAGGTAAGTAGGTAGGTAGATATATAGATAGTAGGAAAACAGCCCCCGCGTTGGTGTCTCCACCTTATCGTGGTGAGGGTGTTTGAGTATGCCAAGGACCCTGAGAGCCATACCAGCGGTACCGTAACTACTGGCAGGGCCTCCCTTGCTGGACAGGTCAAAGGGTAGACATCAGACGAAGAGAGACACCAAAAACCAAAACCTGATGCCGGAAGCAGCGTCATCAGCAGCGACTTGAAGCACAGAGCAAATGATGCTCGAGATGGTTCAAGTTCGTATAGCAGCAGGCGTGACCAGAGTGGTTTGAACGGCTGTTGTACTGCGATGTGGAAAGCAAATGGAAAAACTACCACATTATCACTTTTCCTGGATAGTCTCTTTCCAAAAACAGAGATACCATGTATGCGAGATAGAGGGGCGGATAGAAGTGACCAGAAGACCAGGAAGAAGACGTAAGAAGATGCTGCGTGACCTTGGGGACAGAAGAGGATATTTTTATTTGAAGGAGAAAGCTCTAGATCGCATTAAATGGAGGAACTGTTTTGGAAGAGACTGTGGACATGTCGTCAGACAGATTACTGATGAATGAATGAGGAAAACAGGTGGGTCGTTAGGCAGGCAGGTAGGGAAGTAGGTAGATAAATATATGGGTTTCTAAGAAAATAGGTAGGTAGGGTGATAGTGATGTAGGTAGTCAATAGTTAATTCGTCAGTGATATATTTCATTGTCTGCAAATGACGTAAAACAAATTCAGTTAGTCTTATGTACGCATTTGCAAGTAGGTGTAATATAAAATAAAATCTCTCTGTTTCAGGTTTCGAAAATAGAATACTGATACAAAACATTCGAAAGTTCTTATTACATGAATATATCCCTATAATGGTGAGGGCATTTGAAAGTGACGCTAGGAGAAGGTGTGTCACTCAGCGGTCTATATACGTCATTCTCAGAGGCAACAAAGACACAAGGACCTACATAAATCAGGTTAGAAACCTGCTCAGAAACTTCAGTAGTTCAGCCACTATATTCACCTACACAATAGATTAAGTACACGCAAATTTAAAAAGCAGACTTTGTTTAACATGGCATTATGCAGTCTATAAAACAGAATAGTTGTGTGTCAACCACAAAAGTATGTTTTTATCACTCTTCTCTAATGGTTTCAAGAATTCTCAGATAACTGTTTGGTTACCAAGGCATAACAGAAGCTCTAAATGGTTTAGAAAATAACCTGCATATGCTAACATACGTTTCTCGGTAGCTCATTTCTCTTAATGCCTCCGTGTCCATAAGCCCGCACCAATGAGGAGTACTGTCTTCTGGGACAGTCCGGCGGAGTTCACTACCGAAGGAACGTACTGCCTCAATATTGAGAGTCGATGATAAAGCCGAGCTCTGTTTGCTGCTTGCTTCTTGCTGGTTGGTTGCTTGGCTTACATTCGACCATGAAGATAAAGACAATAAGCTCCACCAAATCATCTGCGAAAATCTGACTACATGGCGTCAGATTACTCTTTATGATCGCCAATTAAGAACACTAATCAGATATTTATGTAAGGTAAAGTTGTCCCTGTGCTTACCTAATTAAGTACTAGACCATTAAGGCGTATGGGGGAGTGGATAGATCCAAATTTTCTTGATCTCGGCACTAGCTGAAAGTGAGTGGTCAGCTTCACGCCCCGGCCGCTTTACACCCGGGGAAAGGGCCCCTGGTACCCATTGGATTGGAGGCTGGGTGGGCCCCAGAGCCAGTCTGGACGAGGTGGACGAAAGAAAATGTTTGACCATACCGGGACTCGATCCCTCGGTCGTACAACCCGTAGCCAGCCGCTATACCGACTGAGCTATCCCGGCTCTCAGATATTTATGTACCTTTACGTTATATAGTCACGTCTCACTTAGTTTTAGTCTACTTAATATTTTTATAATACAAGCATATACAAACTTAGCGAATAATTCTAGAAATACAATGGCCTATGACATTCAACGACAAACTGAGACTGCAGTTCATAATTGCTATCGTTTGCGGAACTCATTCCCTGATTTCGAAAATTAAATTCCATTCATATCAGTAACATATAGCGCTTTATACAAGTACAGCTTTGTTCCCCACAGACATTTTCAGTGGCATATTCATCTAGAGCCGTCTGGTTGCTGTTCCTGGACACTAACGCGTACCTGGAGGAGTTCTTCACAGACATCAACATTCCTTTCGACTGCGAGTTCCTGGTGGCTCAGTCACAAAATGGCGACGTCATCGCACTGACGGAAGTGTACCGAGTTAGCCCCACGCTTCCGCTGCAGACATACCGCTTCGGTAACTGGTCTCCTGGTGGCGGCCTCACCTGGCCCTCACAGGGCTTCTACCAGAGGAGGAACAATCTTCAGGGACACGTAATTCGGGCCACTTATAAAAGTGTAAGTTGATTTCTAGTCCGTTAAAGAGATCAGTGGGGTGAACTTTAGGGAAGCGGTCGATGTTTCGTGTGAGAACCAGTTTAATGAGAAAGTGGGAAATCGTGGGAGAAGTCAGAGATACTGTATTCATATCCGAAAGAAACGACGTTAAAACAAGCGGTAAACACAGTTACCATTGTCATGTAAAGGGTTATGCACAGTGTTCTGGTTAATAATGAGGCTGTTTAAATCTGTCCAGGAGCCCATTACAGTCAACGTGGTTAAGGAGGCAAATGGATCTTACAAGACTGAAGGCTACTTTGGGCAGATCTGGGGCATAATGGCTGACTTGGTAAACGCAACGTAAGTGTAAAGTACGAGAACTACATGGTATTAATTATGATCAGAGAATGACGTCACCTTTGTGACCTAACACGTCAACTGACGTAAACAGTCTCTCTAGCAAGCAGAGGGCATAATCGGAATATGAATTGGATTGAAATGGCTACAAATAAAGTCCAGTATAGCTCAATCACCAAGTTCTCCCTCCCTGAATATAGGAGTTGGTTCCAACTGACGGGCCTTGCAAAGTNTTTAATTGTTAAAAGTTAAAAAGTTCGTGAATCGAAGTTCAATTCATGTCCCTGGTTACACTTGCACTTGTTTTTACAGTCTCATTTTACTTACGCTCACAGCTGTGTCTAGTTCTTTTTTAACTAGTTTAATTATTATTATTATTATTGGTTAAAAGTTCGTGAATTAAAGTTTAACTTATGTTACTGGTTGCACTTTCACTTGTTTGTGAGGTCTCGCCGTTCTTCCGCGTTCTCTGATGTTGCTGGATCTGTTATGATTAGATGTTATGATTACATTAGAATAATAATTTTAACCTGTGTTTTATAAAAAGAACTCGATATATTAGTGAGCGTAAATCTGGATAAGATACAGGGTCGAATGAATGAAAATGTAATGTGACCGCGTGTAATTATACAGCCGTGTTCATACACCCGAGGATGACCTCTTGAGGCCGAAACATGTAGTGATAATAAAAACGTGTTGGGTAGTCGGTAAATTCACTCTACTATTACTTGCAAAGTACGTTTTATATCTGATGATGGAAGTAGAAACAGTTTAAAAAACATCGTGTTTTTCTCCTAAGCTAGACATGCGAATGCCCGAAATGTCTGTCCGTTTAGCAATAATATGGTGCGACCATTGTTACCAGTCCTGTGTACCAGGCGGCTACTTCCTACGGCTCTAAGTCCGGTAACGGGTCCTGGAGCGGCATGGTAGCGCTGGTAAGCAGTGGGGAGGCTGACATCGGTATCGGGGACTTCACGGCGACGGCGGAGAGGTCTCATGTCGTGGAATTCATAGACACAGTGGAATTTTCGAGGCAAGTCATATGGATTTAGTTTCATCTCCACTCTCTAATTCTTACGTGCAATTGTAGTTTACCTACAAGAAAAGGAACTTGGTAGTATGTGTAGTGCGCAACACCGACTGGATGTCTGTCTGCTCGGTTCGCGCCACTTTACGCTTTCCGTCGTCCCTCCTGCCATGTTGGCTGCAACATTTAAGTTCGTGGAGCGTCGAGTCGCGTAGGCTCTTGTCTCCAGGTGGATGAAAACCGCAGCAAATTATCACCAAATCTACCAAGGCATGCACTCGCGAAATTTCGATTACGTTGGTAAATTATTGTGTGATTTATACGGGGCCTCCTCCGAGTGAATCATCCTGTATAATTAATTTATCGGTTTGTTGTTATGTCATTTCCATGGAAAAGAAATTCAAGAATGATCTAACACAGTGTTTACTATAGTTAGGTCCATATAAATAATATAATGAATCGAAACGAAATGGCTTCTTAAGGCGTATTCTGGATGGCTTAACTGTTTTGGCGCAAAGGAGAAAGGGGAAGGAAGAGGGAAGTGAATGATGACATAGCAGATAAGTAAAAGGGGTTGTAAAGAGTGTGGGAAATATGAGGGAAAGAGATAAAAGCAGGAAGATTTATATGCAAAACTAAGAACTTCCGGATAAATATTCAGTAACCATTATACTGTCATAAATAAATAATGTACGTGCATAGCAATCATAACAGTCAGCTCATATGTGTTTCAGTATTAAGGTATTCATAAAGATACCCAACAGCTCCGACATGGTCTGGAACAGCTACGTCGCCCCTTTTAGCTACGGCCTATGGTTGGCCGTGGCCATATCAGGCTGCGCCCTCTGCGTCTGCCTGACAATCACCAACTTCAGCCATGACGGGCAGAAGGAGAAACAGAGCCTTATGGTTTCCGAGACAGTATTCTACATCTTCGGGTGTCTGTGTCAGCAAGGTCAGAACTCTGCCCCACTTTGAGGCGTCTTCCTTCTTTGTTAAGAGTCATACCTTCTGGGATATAACACAGTGTACTGCGTTGGAAATCAATTAGCCTTTAAAAAGAATGTATGCATCCATCTTCAGTGTCTGAGGATAAGCCGAACAAGAAACAGGTGTTAAGCAGACAGAAATCTTCTTCTTTATCTTCGACCTTGAAGATGGAGGCGACATGTACCTCCAAAATGTCTTTTGACTTTCAAGGGTTTATACTGCGTTATATATAAGAAACCAGAACTCTTTATATGTTAGTTTTAGTTTGGAACGTATGACAGCGAACAGGGAGGCCTCAGTTCTGGCTGCTTATTCATTCGTATATAGTGACTAACTTCTCGTCAAGACATAGCAGTGAACAGTTGCGTGACAATTTAATGTTTGGTAAACACAGGGAGAAATTAAGAGGAGACTGAACTCGGGTATTGCTTGATACCATTCAGTCCAGAAGCTTTTGTCTTCCCGTCTGCTGTCTGAAAACGTAAAAGTTAGAATAAACAAAACTACAATTTTGCCTGTGGTTCTTTGTGGGGGTGAAACTTGGTCTCTAAGGGAGGAACATAGACTGAGGGTGTTTGAGACCAGGGTGTTGAGGAGAATATTTGGACCGAAAAGGGTTGAAGTGACAGGAAGCTGGAGAAAACTGCGTAATGAGGAGTTTCATGACTTGTACTCTTCTCCAAGTATAAATAGAATGATCAAGTCAAGGAGGATGACGTGGGCTGGGCATGCAACACGAATGGGAGAGAAGAGGAATGCATATGGAATATTTTTGGGAAAGCCAGCAGGAATGAGATATGAGGAAGATCTAGACCTAGATGGGAGGATAATACTAACATGGATCAAAGTTATGATGGGGTGGTATGGGCTGGATTGTTCTGGCTTAGGATAGGACCAGTAGAGGGCTCCTGTGAACGCAATAATAACCTTCGGGTTCCATAAAACATTAGGAAATTCTTGAGTAGCTGCAGTACTGGCAGGTTCTCAAGAAGGACTCATCTCCATGAAATTATTTCATGACAGGGAAGAGTTCATCATGGTTTTAGTGACTTCATTTACACATTCTTCTACCGGACACTCTCGTTAAGCGTACACTAGTATACTTTCGCAACATTGCTTACTGTTAAATAGACGCCGAGTAATAACCGCTGCGCTTTAAACGGTTAGTACATATTCAATACTTCTCGAGAATTTTTTTTCACTGACTCTACAGCCCCACTGGGACCCTGGTCTCTGATTTTCAGTTTCATGATCATTTGACAGACGGTACGACTCCTTGAATGAGTGATCAGCCCGTCGTAAGGCCTCTACTTAAACACAGGACAACACAAACACAGAATAAACACATTCACATACCAAACATCAATGCCTTGTGTAGGATTCGAACCCACGATTCGGCTTCCGAAGGAGCAAGTACATGCCTACTCGGCTACCGCGACCGGCCTTACTCGAGATTACGTCTTTGTACTTTGTCTTACAATATCCAGCTGTAGAGGCCTGCAGTGCTAGTTCAGGGATGTTCTCCAAAACAGGTTTGAAGCCGTACCCGATTTTAGTAATCTGCCACAGGCGAGTGCCAATAGAATGTCTGGGCCAGAGACAACTCAGAAGTTAAAGTTACCATATCTCACAGGTCAGCGAGAGGCAGTAAACCGCACCGCAGGGCGCATTGTGACGCTGACGGCATACGTCATGTCACTGGTGATATTTGTTGGATACTCAGCTTCCTTGATCTCCAGTCTGGCCGTGCAGCCGAGAAATCTGCCGTTTAGGGATCTACAGGGACTCTTGTACGACGGTTCTTACAGCCTCGGTGTTCTCCAGAATTCTTCCTTCCTTAATATCTTTGATGTAAGTAATACAATGTCCCTTCTGTGTCACAGATAAGTAATAATAATTATATGTTGTGTTTGGACCGATTCATTTCTTTGAGGTCATGTCAAACTTTCGGTGTGCAATCTCAGGGAAGGAAATTCCTGGTTACCGCGATACAATCTACTAACGCCTAACGTTAAGTAACGAGGGGCGTTACTACCTGATGATGACGCAAACACGCAGATGTTTCGGATACAGCAAAACCATTTGTACAGTTTTAAATCTTTCGCCCTCTACAGCTTCAGCATTTAATTAATATTAATTTATTTAAGATTATGGGGATGGGTTGTCTGGCCACTTGTAGGCCTATTGTACCATCTTAGGATGGTAGGTGAGCATGGATAACTTTGTGTGATTAGAATTGGTAGTGGAAGAGAAAAGCTGTCCCAGTGCCACTTCCTTTTTCACAAATAGCACATGCCCCGAACTGGGATCGAACCCATGCCACCGCGGTCGAAAGCCGATGACTAACTACCTGAGCTATGGCATGGCCTAGCTCCACTCTTCAAAGCCTTGAGGTATGCATCACATACTTCAACATTTAAAATGTCTCCATGTTGTTCACATGCTGCAGTTCTGCACGGTGCTTACTACAAACTGCAATGATTTCCCTGAACTTAATTATGTAAGACTTTATTGCAGGGAGCCGTGGGAGGACTTGAGAGTGAAGTTTACAAGAAACTGATTGGCCCCTTCAAGAGCGACTTGCCCAGCACAAACGACGAAGCTTTCGAAAGAGTTTGTACTCGTAATAGATATGCTTACATGTGCAGCCATTTCTTCAGCCAGATCGTGCCATGCCAGCTGGTGGCACTTCCTGGAACTTCATACCCGGAGACACTAACCTACATAATCACCAAGAACAACCCCTACAAGAGCCTCATTAACTGGAGGTGAGTTACATTGTCTACATCTCCTCTCTTAACCCTAATTATCAATAGGATTACTGTAGGGTAAATGCTGCCTCAACTTTGTATCATAGAAGCCTATAGGGGTGACTGGACTGCTTCAACTGTTCTGTACCTCAGGATTGGAGAAGGAGAATGGTTAGCTTCATGTTCCGGCCGATTTTCTTACAGTGCCGTATATGATCCTTGATAGTTCTAGAACTACCAACTAGTACAAAAGTAGCACTCGAATTATCCGGAATTTATATAAGTATTATAAAATGCGATGTCTTCTGGATCCTTTCTTCATTAGTTCAACCCACAGCAAATTCCTACAACCTATTTGCCAAATTCCCCTTTTAGTAATATCATCCGTAATCCTTCTCGTTCACCTAAACGGCCGTGAGTATAGGTTAATACCCAGTCTTTATATTCGGAAGGTTCCAGATTACATCTATAGTCGCAACAGCGGATATGATTACTTCTTTGTTTTCCTCAATTATACCAAGGAAAGTTTGAGACAATATCGTCAAATACGTTATCATGATACTCATAATTCATAATCGCCGTGTTATCTGATGTTATACATTCTCATGAGGTACTCACCGCATTATTGTGTTCGAAAAGGTGCAGTTACGTTGCAGATTTTGATAAAGATTACTTTTCTGTACAGGCTAGCTCAAGTGCGTGAGAGTGGACTTCAGGAGAGAATTCGCCAACGCTACATAACCTTAAAAAAACCAGATGCAGACCGATCTACTACAACTGTTGGTTTACTGGCTATAGCGCCAATTTTAGTTGTGTTTGCCGCCGGAAATATAATGTCAGCTTTCGTACTAATGATAGAGCGATGTATCCGTGGAAATGCGTTCAGACTCTGGCTAGATGGAAATATTCGACGACCATACAATAATGAATATCAACAGCTTGTGCGTATTCGGAGGCATCCACGGATACACGTCATGCCAAACCGGCGGCCATTACGTGTTCGGTAGTCAATAAAAAACATGGAAATGCAAATAATAATAATAATAATAATAAAAAGAGAGTCGACATAAAGTTTATTGTTTGCAGGAAAGTGTAAGCACTGTAATATTATGCAATAATGAAACATCAGCTGCTTATGACAAAGTATTTATGAATTTATATCGCATATGAAAGACACATACTTTTAACGAAACCTCTTTTTACCTGCCTGGAATATTTTACATCAGAATCTGACATAAGACAATACTTGAAGATGTTTCTACTTTTGTTTTGTGACATGTTTACACACCAACTATTAACTGAAGATAGTTTAGGTTTTAGTGAGAACTGCAGAGACTCGGCAAGTTAACATTGAAACAAATGCATAAAACTGGTGAATATCACATGCAATTAAATAATACCATATATATTTATCTCGAATTCAATTACTTTATTTTAAATTATTCTAAATGCATCTATAATGAAAGAAGAAACTTATCCTCTGACGGCACACCATATTGTTTCAATACCAGACTGTACGGTGTATTGGAGGAAAACGATTATTAGCTGACAGATCGAGTTTTCTACCTAGCGAAATTGTGAAGTGAATTTGTATGTTATGGTGTTAGACCAACTTGAAGTGTGCTCTGTCAACAAAACTATCTCACTACATTTCGACACATTTCAATACTCATTATATTACGAATGTGGTTAGACAAATGTTGACATAGCTATAGGGGTGTGCTATGTGTGGGGGAACCATCAAACAGTGAAACAAACTTCTAATGTATAAATGTTCAGCGAAGAGTGTGTGTGGGGGGGGGGGGCACAAAGCAGGCGGCTAAGTGAGAAATTTTGTGTGTTGAAATTACTCAGGGACCGAGCAGTGTTCACTAGCCTCGTGTCCACGAATTTAATTAGTTAGTTAGTTAGTTAGTTAGTTATTGGAGAGGGTGGGTTTCCCCATGCACTTAGACCTGTATTGGTCCATTGTGCTTCCCTCTATGATTTCTACCAGTCTCTATATCCTACCGGTACTGGTGCTTACCATCAGTCCCGCCCAGCCAGCGAGACCGGCTCTACTAGCTGAGAGGTATCTATAATGCTTCCCCCATCTACCAGAGGTATTAGAGACTGCTGTTGGGCGGGAAACGTCCGCAGTTTGGCTCAGTGACCTCCTTTGGAGATATGAGGTTCTTTTACATGCCGTAAAGCTACGACACGGGACCCACGGCTTAAAGTCCCTCCCGGAGGACTTGTTCCCTGAACTTTTCCGCCCTTAAAAATTCGACGACCTCCACCGGGTATTTGAACCCGCGTACTACGAGTCATGAGGTGGGAACGTTACCTCTAGACTACGGAGGCCGCTACGAATATAATTAAATAATTCATGCAAAATTGTAACGTCTTATGTTTTTTCTACTTCCTGTGCTTAACGCGGACCTAAGAGAGAACACCAGAAGATATTAAATTTACCCTGTACTCTTGCGACAGAGTTTTTGGATGCGATTCGAACCTTCGATCCCCAATCCTCATCCACGGGGAAATTTAGCAAATAGGTCACAAATGGAAGTAAAACAGCTGTAATGGGCGTAATAGGTTTTCTGTGTGCTGTGTTGTGCTCTTTTTCTGGGCAAGAGGACTCAGTTCAAAGGATGTTCACAAAGAAATGTTTCCTGTTTTGCGGTGGGAAGTGTTTGTCATGTAAAGCGGTTCAGCGCTGGGTGGCAAACGTTTCGCTGATGACGAAGAGGATGAAACGGAGGTGCGGAAACGGCTGAGACAACAGTCAAAAGACTTCTATGCTGCGGGTTTCAGCGCACTGGTAAAGCGATGGGACAAGTGTATCAGTGTTGGTGGAGGATATGTCGAAAAATAATTTTTTTTTTTCCAGGTTTGAATGTCACATGTGCTATGTTTTACATCCATTTATGGTCTATTTACTGACGCTTTTTCGTAATTACATGAGTAAATTTTAATTTCTTAATTCGAGGGTTATTCTTTCTTTAATGTCTTAGCTGCTAAATCCTGTGATACTGACAATGACAACAACAATATCCTGGAGCAAGAACACAAAACAATGACATTCCTACAGAGTACGATCTTGTGGTGGTAACGCCGTGTAGTTCGGAGACCGCCCGACATCGGGCTTTCTCCTAGCTACACGGCTTCACATGTCAGAAAACAGCGCGATCTTCATATCACTGCCGCGAGACACTCAAATGCAACAGAATGAAAGCCATCGCACACTCTGTGAGGCGTGAAGCTTTCGTGGCGAACAAAAATATACAAAATTTCTCCGTCATAGTTGAATTAAGAGCCAGCGTTTCAGGGTCGATGCGGGGAAGGTTCGCAAGTTGCTGATGTGTTCAGTTCGGTAATACGAACCCGACGGAATGACAGCCTCCTCTGAAGCGAAGCAAGAAGGAGGGCCCCTCACACGTGCGGTGAGAAGGTCCCGAGCCAGATTTCCGCAAGGAGCAGCACAACTGAGGCCGCAGTTCCGATGGCCAGGATCACGAAGATGGGCGCTATATCGTACAGCTCCACTGACAGCTTCTTGGGCTCCGAGCTCTGAGTGACGAGCAACAGCCTGACCACTACCCGCTCGTACAGCCCATTCAGGAGGCCGAAGTGGCGCATCTCCTGCAGTCTGCAACAGGACGGCAGTGTCGTCACGTCGGTGGGACTCTAGTCGGCTGCAGTTCGGTCTTTCGCCCACTAGTTCAGACACTCGGGTACATGTCTGATAGTTCGGTAGATCTGTCGGCCTGACGTTATACCGGCCGAAATATCGGTAAGTCAGCCGGTAGATCGGTCGGTAGTTCAGTCAGTCGGATACTTCGATCGGCGTTAGACTGACCGGAATAGCAGTCGGTCGGCAAATCGATCGGTCGGTCGACCGATAGATCAGTTAGTCGGATACTATAGTTCGATCGGCCTTAGACTGACCGGAATAGCAGTGGGTCGATAGTTTAGTCAGTCGGATACTAGTTCGAGCGGTCAGTAGATCTGTCGTCCTGGCGTAATACCGGCCGAAATATCAGTAAGTCAGCCGGTAGATCGGTTGGTAGGTCGGTTGGTAGTTCAGTCAGTCGGACATTTCGATCGGCTTTAGACTGACCGGAATAGCAGTCGGTCGGCAAATCGGTCAGTCGACCGATAGATCAGTTAGTCGGATACTAGTTCGATCGGCCTTAGACGGACCGGAATAGCAGTGGGTCGGTAGTTCAGTCAGTCGGATACTAGTTCGATCGGTCTTAGACTGGCCGGAATAGCAGTGGGTCGGTAGTTCAGTCAGTCGGATACTAGTTCGATCGGTCTTAGACTGGCCGGAATAGCAGTGGGTCGGTAGTTCAGTCAGTCGGATACTAGTTCGATCGGTCAGAAGATCTGTCGTCCTGGCGTTAGACCGGCCGGAATAGCAGTCAATCGATCGGTAGATCGGTCAGTCGGGTAATAGTTCGGCCGATCGGTCGGTACTTCGGTCCATCGATTGGCTCGCAGCTTTTCCGTCTGGTCGGCAGTTCAGTCAGTTGACCACAGAAAATGTTCACAAAAAAGGCGTGATGACATCGCTTGATCAACTGATCGTTATAATATATATTTGTGTGGTCCACGTCAAACAGACCGCCCAATATGTCCACTGTATTGATATTGTCACGCGTTTGAGTCACTGTAGACGAAGTTTGAATTGGTAATTGGATTTACTGAACACTTAACAAATCGTAACTAAAAGTAGCTACAGCGCCATCGCTAATTCACATACTCTACAGTTCATTTCAACACGTACGAAGTCTGCTGAGTCTGCTATATCTTCATCGGTTGTCGCCTGGTAACGGCTTCCAACGCCATATCCTCTTCAGCTTTCTTGTTAATGTTCTTACTGGCCGGCGACTATCTCATAACTCACTCATTGCTCCAACTGAGTAACTCCCAGACTGGCTGCCATCTCACACCAAGCTCCTACTATTCTCACCATAGTCTCAAGACTCTTCTCGAGTCAGAGTCAGAGTCAGAGTCAGAGTTACTTTACGATTGGCGATTTACCTCCAACCAGTTCATATTGGCGAGAATCCCTTGAGACTGACGACCAGTAATTTTATTTTACATCCAAACACTTAAGATTATAGTCCTTATGTAACATCCTCTCTGACGAGAGGATGGGTCTGTAGTTTACAATTACTGCTGGTCCTCGCCAGCGCAGTCATTCTCAGGTCCGGATCGCACTGAACTCACGACCACATTTTACTGTCTCAGATTCGAGACGTCCTTCTTCGCTGTCCCCTATGACTCGCAGGGCTACGGTGGAGGTATCTGACTCCGCCTCCACACGGGATACTCCTCTCTAATTGCAGCTGGCCCTCGTTTAGCCTCGTCACTGATTGCACAGAGAACACCGCTTCAAGCAACTGTTCTATTGTTGCGTGCGTTTGTTGCTGTTATTACCTAGCAACGGCCGTTGTTTATAGAGTCATTACTTAGCAACTGTTGTTGTATAGGTGCTTATTTCGCGGTCTTTGCCTGGCAATGGGTCTTCATGCTACAATATTTTCTCGGCGTCACAAACAATTAACACAGCTTTGTATAATTTAGTTACAAATAACCATAATTTGTAACGGTCGGTTCTTCGAAAACGTGGCTATTATGTTACTCTTTCAGTAAACTACGTAGCGCCAAAACGAAAGACGACGCTAATATTACACATTTTTAAAAATATTTTAACGGAAGCGAAAATATCGTATTTTAATGCCATTTCTCTATTCTCCAAGGTCGACTTTATCCGCCATCTTCTCTTCAGTTAAACTTCAATCTTCTTCTCCCTTCTTCCTCTTCAATGTTCTGATCTAAACAATCATGCTCTCAGATTTATGACGTAAAGCATCTTAACCAGTGTGGACCGAATGCTGCTGTTGAATAGGTAGCATACCTACTGCTTAATCAGGAGATAAAGTTGTCACTTCGCTTAATTAAGTACAACAAGCAGGCATGCAGGAGAGTGGAGGTACAGCGCCATGCATTCTTGACACCAGCATTAGATATAGATGAGTGATCAGCTTCGCACTGTGGTCGCTTTACCCTAGGGAAGGAGCTCCCGTACACATTGGATAGGTAGTCTCTGTGATCCAGTGCAAGGTATGGACGCAGCGGAGAACAGAGAAATCTGTTGCACTAGCCTGGAATCAAACCCTGCTTCCTCGATCTTCCATCCTGCAGTCTAGTCACTCTGCTCTCCCTGTCCGGATGATATTTGGAAGCTCCGAGTTCAGATTTTAGCCACGAGAATTGGTATTTTGATTTCTTGACGGTTTTCCTTAACTCTTGCAGGCAAATCCCAGAATATTACGTCAAATTAACCCATAACTGTTTTCTTTCCAATTCAGTAATTATGCTGCCATTCAATATGACCTAATTTGGGATACTGACGCCTTAACATAAATCTAGCTACGTGCCTAATAAAAAACGATTAATAATCAGGGATTGCTAAAAGCGCGAAGTACTTACATATAGTTCATAAGTCCAAGGTAAGGGCTCTGTTTCGGCATGCCTATTGCCATCGTCCCTGGATAGAAAGCTCGAGGAACAAATGTGATGCTACACTGGGGCGAGAACCCCGGCAACAAGAGCATGTAGTCCGACACGCAGTGGGCGTACTTCCTATCGTAACAGAGTCGCTGTAGTCCCGTGTAGTCGCTAATGTCAAGCGCGGCTTCGTATGGAGCAATCAGCTTGTTGTAGATATCTCTCAATACTTTATCACTCGAGTTCTGAAACAAACAGTTTGTGGAAGGCATCTCTCAACAGTTA